TAGGGTCGAGTTGGTGAAAAAACAGAGGAAATGCAATGAAAAGCGATAAAGGTGCAAACTTTAAGATGCTAATGCGAAGATTAGGGTTAAAGACAGGGTTTTGCAGCTAAAGGGAGGCTATACTTAATCAGTCTTGCTCTTAAACAACTTGTATCAAGGTATCTCTTGATATTGAGCTTCTCAATGCCTAGCTAACCCTTTCCCAAGGTGAAAGCTATCAACCAAGACTTGATCTCAGAAACAGGGGGTTAGCCAGTGAGAATCAAGCCTTGGAGGCCATAGGATCATTGCTCAAACTAATCCATCCAACCCCTATGAACTCCATTTCGAGAGCAAGAGTTATTGGAGCTCTTAGTGGACCTTTTCCAACGATTTCCATCACTTCCATGTGGAGAATCTCCTATGGACATACAAGCCAGGGGTAGTGGTCATGTAGCCTTAAGGTTTGTCCAAAAGAGAGAGATTTCTAGATTAAGAACATAAGCAAGAAGGATTAAGCATAAACAACCTCTAACCTATCCCATCTTAAGCCCTAAATGGTACTACTCTGATAAAATAACCAACCAAATGCAATGAAATCATATATATGAAAAGGGGCCAGCCCTCTCCATCTTTACGACACCTGGATGCAGCAAATAAAGACAAGTGGCATTTTAGATACAAAATTGCAAAATAACAATGCAATTTCTTCATCTTTACCTACCCATCGATTGACATGTGGCAATATTCTTTAAAGAGGGCAGCTTCTTCTCATTTAGTCGCCGTCATTACAAGCAAGTTTTACGAATTCCGTCGCTTCATTTTGTAATCATGCCCATGCTTTTATGATATCCTCCATATTTTAGACGTTTCACTTGTCTTCATACCCGAGACGTTAAGCAATTTTTTAACTCTTCATCTTCCCTGTGTTTATATTCCAACAATTCTTATTCCCGTTCGATACCTATCCGTACGAAGTAGCTCATCACTGAGGGAATTGAACGCCCCTCATATCTATACCTGTTGTTGGCTCTAAGTAAGAGAGATGCTACTTTATTCACATAAAACTCCATTGATTTGGGCCATGTATGAGCTCTTCATCAAATTGATCATTTATCTTAGGATTAATTTCACGCGTATCTAAATTCTAGCGGATCCTCTGTTTTTTCCCATGCGGCTCTCATATCGGTATGATGGTGTCCTTTTCTTTCTCTAATTTTGTTAGGGCATGTTTTAATATGGGTATGAAAAAATTCTTAGCCTTTCTCATGGTTTTAGGATTTCTTTTTCTTTCCTGGTTGTTTTGGTGTAATGGTGTTTGCTAAGTGCAAATGTATGGTTAACTATTAAATTCAGAGAATTACCCCTTGCTTTTCGTCTGCAATTGTTTATGGTTAAATGCCAATTTTAGTAATCAAGCTGAAACCAGGTACATAGATTTCACCTTCCGTAGCGTTTCTTACTCTGACCGAAAGTTCTTGAAGTGTGTGTACTTGAAATTTTGGGAATATATGCACATCATGATCTACGGTCCACTTGTGCAAGAAAGAGCTATACTTTGGAATTTGGACGCGACAAGCATTCCGGGATTGTGTCTTCTTCAGGTTCATTTTATGGGACCCAGACCAGGAAGGTGCAAGAATGTGTTATATTTTCTTGTCTGTTTCAGGTAACTAATTTAGTGGCAAGAATTTAGAGATAGGCTGGCCAAACGGAGGATAACTTCTTCATTCCTATCTGTTCTATGTGCGTGAAAATTTCACAGAGATTATTAGAATACTCAATATGTATATCTTTTATAGATTTTCTTCTTCACGTAGACATCACATTTGAAGCCAAAATGTTTATGCCTTGGACTTGTGGACTCTGGTTTGACTTCTTTTGCAATAGTCATATGATAAATTGATAATCAATATTCAAAACTCAAAAGCATGTGCTTTGTTGTTTTACAGGCCAGGCTTTTATGTAATGAGCAAAAAGGCGAGAGATTCATTTGAGAGACTCTACAGGAATTGTGAAAGTATAGAAAACGGAGAATTTTCAAATGCACACTTTGCAATGAAAGAAGCTCTCATAGTTACTACATGGTTTGTAACCACAAAAATTATGGGTTGAAGCATATTTTGTCTGATACAACTTACAAGTAATTGTCTCTCTTTGTAGATCATTTTTTTGCCAGCTGAGGGAAGATTGGTACTTGTCCGGACATGGGTTGGTCAGAAAATATAGACCAAGCTAGACAAACATGATCTGAAGCAAAGATGCAATCATGCAAGTAATCTTTGCTTCTCTACCCTCTCAATTATTTTGTCAAAGTTGTTTTATGTTTTGGATATAATTGACATATATATACCTCTGATTAACATACACTGAAGAGACTAAGGAAATAATGGACTGGAGGGAGTTTGAAATCTTTGGCCTATAGCAAATGGAGACTTTCACGTCAGCTCCATGTGAAATAGTTTTACCACTTTATCGCCTGGTAGATTTTTTTTTTTAAGAACAATGCAGTGGTGAGTTTATTTCCAAAATCCAGACTGAGAAGAAGCAACAAGATTAAGAAAAGAATAATTCAGTTGAAGTCAAAGTTAACCTCCTGCATGATCTGACTGGTAATCATTTTTCTTTACCTCTTCTTCTGGCTTTTCAACAGTGTGCTCTGATTTTCTGATGCAATGGTTTCATGTTGGAACTTGGTATGAAAGGAAGTAGAAAATTTGTATGTGCTTTTGACTAGCACGTTCATTTCTGTCTAACAAACCAATAAGATGAATGCCTTACGCTTCGATGCTCTACATTGAAATGACTGGTCCTCTTTTCATTATCAATTACTATGCGTCATCTGAACAGCTTTATCAGTATTAGTTACGAGACCGTAGGCTCTCATTAAGAATTATATTTTATGCATGTTTAATAAAAAGCTTTTGAAATTTAGTTTAATCTTTAACAAAATTCATCCAGTTCTATCTTAACATGTTACTAAACAGCGTTCAAAGTTCTTTCGAGAAGAAGGCAAGTATTCCAGCATTGAAGGCTTCCACCTGCGCATATCCTACTTAGGCAGAAAAATGATGATCTCTAGGAAGGAAGGACCGCTCTGAAGGTTTCGGAGTGTAAACTCAACTTTATAGAGAAGGAAATGCTGGAGTGTAAACACAAGAATGCAGATCATGAGAACGAACTTGATGATATGGATATGCAGGTCAAACGTGGAAGATATTTAGATGAGGTAGAAGCTTTGCGTCCCCAGAGTGTGGATCAATCATTTTTGTTAACTATGGAGATAAAGAAAAAGAAAGAAGCCTACACTTCTTACAAAAAGCTGAATCCCAATGTATATTTATGCAAAAGGATCAATCTTACAACTGCTGGCAGTGCTCTTAACCAAAACCACCTTGAAGATGAGACTAACTCAATGGAACAACATGAGAGACCGTTCATCTCAAGTTGTAAGTGTTAGAAATCTCTTGCTCAGCTGCTAATAAGTACAGTCTCATTTCAAATTACTTGCTATAATGAGGCATATCTGCTCCAGCTGCAGGTTTCTTGCTGGCATTATTTAACTCATTGATACGATAATAATATCTATGAGTTCTTAGTGGATTTGTTAGTTTTCCTTTTAATTAGGCTTAAGTTTTGGTATTTTTACTTATTCAGTTTTGTTTAGTCGGTTGTATGAGGATCTATAAAAGGATCCTCAAATCATCAATAAGAATTAACTTCCAAGAATTAACCTTAAAACTCAAAGAGAGTTTAGGGTTAAGAGGAAGCTTAGCTAATTATCTCTTTCAATCTCTTCTTCTCTTTGAGTTAACGATAGATTACTTAGGTCCAATCACAAGAGCTAGGGCTAAAGAGTTGGCTCGTATCAATTTGGTATCAGAGACTCTCGATCCGATGACGGACAGCACAGCAATCGCGGCGCAGCTTGCACTAATCATTGAGCGTTTGGACAGTCTTACAGCGGAGACCAAAGCTCTTAGGGAAGACTCGGTGAGCCAAAAAGATACTCTTGACAAGCTAGTTGCAGCTCAAGAGAAAGAACCTGCGTCTCCTGGAAAACAACAAGCAAAAAGTGACTCAATCCATGGTCCAGCGGTGAAGTTTACCACAGAGGATCTGTCTGAAGTCGAGTTCTTTAGCGGCACCAAGAAAAACAGAGGTGTTTCTTCTCACGCTGCAAAACCAGGAGGCGCCTGGCAGAATCAGTTTCAAGGTCAAGAACAGATACATCGACACACAGATGGTGGTGGTGATTGGCAGGTTAAGCCAATTGGAGTCGAATCTCCTCAGGGCTATTCTCAAAGTGATTTTCGTGCTCAAGAGAAACGCCAATGGACTGCAAAAGACGATGCCTGTGACGACGGAGACATCGAGAACGTCAAGCGTATTGTTCCAGCAATAAAGATGGAGTTTCCATCCTATGATGGAACAACTAATGCGATTGAATGGCTGCAAAAGTGTGAAGATTACTTTGAGGATCAACGAGTGTTTAGTGATGAAGCACGAGTTCGTCAAGCAACCTTTGTCTTAACAGGAAGAGCATACCACTGGTATCATAATCTCAGACGCTTGGTAACACAGAAGTTAAGCTGGTTTGAATTCAAAAAGATTTGCAAGAGCCGTTTTGGCAAAGCAGACTCAGTCAATCCCGTAGGAGAGTTGTCTAATCTGAGACACACAGGAACCGTAGATGATTACTGTAGTCAGTTTGAAGAGTGTCTTGGGCGACAAACAAAGCTGACAGGAGATCAACAACTCTGGCAATTTTGTGCAGGGTTGACTGATAGTTTAAGGAAGGAGGTTGAATACCTACGTCCAGAGACAATCTTTAAAGCAATGGAGTATGCACGGGATAATGAGTATAAGATTGATAACGACAGAAGAACTCGGTCATTTAGAGGACATCTAGCTCCAACAACTAGATCAATGATGGCCATGAACAACGGGAATGACACAGAAACGGTGATACCTCAACAAGAAGCAAAAAAGGCACCACCGAGGAAATATTTGAAGAAGTTAACTGTGGAAGAAATGGCAGAGCGAAAAGCTAAAGGACTTTGCTTCAATTGTGATGAGCTCTTCACGCGAGATCATGTTTGTAATCCAATGCTTTTTCATATTATGCCGGTCAGGGATGGAGACAATCAAGAAGATGAACCATTTGATGAAGAAAACTGGAAGGATGAATAAGGCTACTAGAAGCATTCCTAGAGTTGGAGCTTGAGGACAAGCTCCTAGTCGAGGAGGGGAGTAATGATACGATAATAATATCTATGAGTTCTTAGTGGTTTTGTTAGTTTTCCTTTTAATTAGGCTTAAGTTTTGGTATTTTTACTTATTCAGTTTTGTTTAGTCGGTTGTATGAGGATCTATAAAAGGATCCTCAAATCATCAATAAGAATTAACTTCCAAGAATTAACCTTAAAGCTCCAAAGAGAGTGTTTAGGGTTAAGAGGAAGCTTAGCTAAATACTCTCTCTTTCTCACGTTAAACAATAGATTATCAAGGTCGGATCACTAGATCTAGGGCTAAAGCTTTGGATCATATCACTCATCTATTTTGATTTCTCTCTTCTTTTACAGCTCTTGAAAGGTAACACCCATAAGCAGACAAACCGAGAGTTGGTAGTGGCTCCAGTATCAGCGTGAGAAAGATAGTAGCTACTTCTTTTGCAGTCACATGGCGTTGTAAGAGGTGACTCTTCTGGTGCAAAATGTTTACCGCTAAGCGGTTTAAAGCGTCCAGCTTCAATTTGTATTCTGCTCGTAGGATGAGTCATGATCAATAATTTTAAAGTCATTTTCCTATGCTATATAATCTTAAATATTAAAATCAATAAACACATTCATGTTAATAACTACCAGCTTATCTTTAACTACTTTACAAAGATATTTTCAGATATCCTTTTCAATGTTTTTAAAACCGGACCGGTGACCGAACCGTAAACTTTTTGGGTCATGGTTCGACCCGGTTTGACCTGGTTCGATAATAATTTAAGCATAATAATATCATATATATATATATATATATATATAAATTTATATAAGAATAATAGAATATCAAAATAACATAAGAGTAAGGAAAACAAATCAGTTATGACTTATGAGCAACACATAAGGATAAAGACACAAACAAGCCAACAATCAGAACAACGAATTCCTTTCAAAACAGAGTTCAGAGACTTGTTACCAAACAAAAGGCTCAAAACAGAGTATGAATTGAAAACCAAAGAATACTTCATCCCTTAAAACTAAAAGAGATTGCATCATTACAAAGAGTATCAAAACCAAAGATAACACCTAAATAAAATAGAGTAGCAGCACACTAGAGCATCCAATCTTCTTTGTCCAAATCTTCAACACCAAGAGTGGGTTCATCGTCATCTTTGGGATATTCCTCAAGAAGTTTATCTTCTAGCTCAGCAAGATCAAGTTCGCCTTCTTCTTCTTCTTCCACAATCCAAAACTCAGTTTTATCGATTGACTCATAATCCACAGGATCATATGATCTATTTTTTTGGACATACACATGCAAATAACGAAATATTTATCACAAGGTATGGATAAATATTTAGTTATAAAATTCAACACGGTGACCATTCATCTACAAGTAAAATGAGAAAAGAAAACAGACTTAAGCAATGAACATGCTCCAAACATTAGCATAAACATAACATTATAGCAAGATGACTTACCAGGTCGAGTAGTTTTGCTACAAGTAAGTGCTATCTCTCGAGAGAAACTACCCTCTCGTTCTCTATAGCATCGAATGCTAGACACCAACATCGATTCACTTAAACCAACAGTCTGCTTTTCAAACAGATTTAGCGTTCCTCTTTTAATCTCTGATTTCTGACAAAAGTTCTCCTTATCATACAAGAAGGCTGGATTCAAAAAATAAGCTGCAGCATAAATATCACGGCGCAACATCTTATCCCACCGACTATCAATGATCCTCGTGTAAGGCTTGTAGAGTCTTTTCTCCTTCTTAAATATCTTCTTGACGCCTAACCGTGCCCTATACATTCCTTCATATACATAAGGCAAAGATGGTTTCTCATCAGAATCGCAAATACGCAACAAACGGATCAAAGGAGCCATAATCTGGACAACCATAAAGCACTCTTTCCAAAAGTCATCATCAAAGATAAGTTGTTTCACAAGTTTTGCTTTTTCAGATCTTGAAATCTTTCTGAACTCCTCATCAACAACCATACTCTGCAAGTAATCTTTATGCGCATACAAGCTTTGTAAAGCTATGAAACTTGTAGCAAAACGAGTTTCTGCAGGACGAATTATCTCTCTCCAACCCGGCCTGTTTCTCAACCAGTTCAAGATATGCTTATGGGTATTCACAAAGATAGTTATCTTTGATGCATAGCTGGTTAATTTCTTGACCAGAGGTAGCTCTCCCACATCTTCTAGTATCAAATTAATACAGTGAGCTGCACATGGTGAGCAATATATGGTAGGATATCTTTCTGTAAGCCTACCACCAGCAGCTTTGTAGTTAGGTGCACTATCTGTCACCATATGGACTACATTTTGGGGGCCAATCATATCCACAACCTCAGCAAATAGGTTACACAAATTCTCTGCAGTTGTATATATTCCTGAAGCATCAACTGACTTGATGAAAGTTATCCCCTTAGGACAATAGACCAAAAAATTTATCAAAGGTCTTTGCCTAGTATCTTTCCATCCATCAGCCATCAGAGTACAACCAGTTTCAGCCCATGTACTCCTAAAAGATTCAATAATTAAAGAAACTTGCAGCTTGGCATCACGTAGTAAACCAACACGTAGAGCATGATACAAAGGCCCTTTGTAACCATGACCCATGCTTGCAATTTTGCTGATCATAGGCTGATAAAATCTAGAATTCACAGCATTCATGGGCATACATACATCATAGAAAAACAATGCAACTGCCATATCAGCATCATGAATCTTTTCCTTACTCTGCAAACATGATTTTATGGTTGGTTGTGACTGATCTTGTAAACCCTGCTTGAAGTAAGAGTTTATGTCGGTATTGGCCTTTCTTTTCTGACTTGGAGGCATAAAACCTTGACCAGAATCTTCGTCATCCTCTAAATCAACAAACTGTCTAGTATTATTCACTCTACTTTTCTCCTTTGCCCTATCATCATGTTCTTTCAGAGACATTCTCATTGCATGTTGAACTTCTGGAGGGACATTCTTGCATGCATTTGTATTCCCTTTCACTCCAGCCAAGTGTTGTTTCATTCTATTGATACCACCTCCTTGATTTTTCTTTTTACAAAAGTCACATGTAAGTGTACTTTTCCCATTCGAATCGAAAGTTTGAGAGACATGTGCCCATGCTGGATCATGCTTTTGACGAACAGAGCGTTGTGAGGGAAGCTGATTTTCTGTATTTGTACCTGCTGAATATGGAACTTCTGAATCATCTCCATCCATTGTTGAGTACACTGCAAAATAGTTTAAACAGAAAAAAAAGTAAATAATGAAACAAAAGCCAACGAATTGACAAGTAAATATTAAATCGACTCCAATAAAGTAAGTGCATGTGGTTTGATTAGGGAGTTATTGAATCTACTATCTATATGCTCATATATTATTATGCTCTGCAAATAAGTTCACGATCGTATGTGCTTCCACTTTTCATTAGCAATTATCATGATGAAACAAAATTATAGTATAACATAAGAGAGAACTATAGAAGTTAAATTCAGAAGCAATACCTTGAGGCTTGACTTATCCAGCGGCTGTGAGTTGCAGAAAAGAGACTTCAAAATGAGAAGAGAAACAGAAAAACCTAACATTGCGTAAACATCAATTTAGTGACTAAACCCTAAACCGGAGTCAATCCGGTTCTGTGGTTCGCCGGGTTCCGGTTTTTAGCCGGTCTAAAGCGGGTTGATCTACGGTTCAACTATCTCCGGTTTTCCATATCAACCCAACCCGGACTTGGTGCCGGTTCGTGGTCGAACCCGGTCGGACCACCGGTCCGGTCCGGGTTTAAAAACACTTCTACTACATTGGGGAAATTTCAAAACTACATCTTTTGAGATGAAACTCGGGAATCTCCACGTTGAACCTTAATTCCCAGTTTCGGTCACCTGTGTTTCCATCTTCCTCACGAAGATCTTCCTGAAGCTGACGACGTCGGTCCTTGCCTCCTGCAAAAGGGTTGTCGAGTGTTTCATCAGAATCAGAATCCAAACCTTGTGTTCTGCAACATCGTTTCAGCCAACTCTTGGATGGAATTAGTGATCGTAGCCTGGATATTCGCCTGCATATCCATAAGAGTACGACGAAGCTCTGCCCACTCATTGGTCGGTGCTTCGTTGGTATGTTGGGTGTTGCGCTTAGGAGCCATCTCTGAATCAAGGAAAAAAAAAACACGCCAAGAACGTGCTGTCTCTGGCTCTGATACCAAAACTGGCGTAGCGTAAGCGTAACGACTCGGTGTTCGTTGATTCAAACTGAATAGCCGAACAGAGAGTAGTTTGAAGCTCGTTGATTCACAAGGAATAGCCGAGAAACAAGAAAGATAGATGCTTGTAAAAGCTCTGAATAATTCAATAACAACTGTCTTTCACGTTACACAAGAGAGACTATAAATAATGAAAGCGACAAACGAAAACCCTAGACGTTTGTAAAAAGGAAATAACAAGAACATAGCTTAAAGCCCAAGCAAACGCTTAAGACTCATAATAACTAAAGAAAAGCCCAAAAAGAAAGATAAAGAAGATAGTAGTAGAGATGCGCTGCATCACAAAGGCATCAAATCCAAAGGAGAGATGGGTTTAAACCCATAAACAATTTCAAGTGGTGAAAACTTAGAAGCATAATGCACAGCATGGTTATATGCAAACTCAATATGCAGCAAACATTCATCCCAACTTTTAAGATTCTTTTTAATCAAGGCGCGCAACAAAGTTCCAAGAGTTCTATTAACAACTTCAGTTTGGCCATCAGTTTGAGGGTGACAAGTAGTAGAAAATAAAAGCTTAGTACCCAACTTAGACCACAAAGTTTTCCAAAAATAACTCAGGAACTTAGTGTCACGATCAGAAACAATGGTGCACGGCATGCCATGCAATCTAACAATTTCTTTAAAGAACAGAGCAGCTATATGAGATGCATCATCAGTTTTTGACATGCACAAAATGAGCCATTTTTTAGAACCTATCAACTATCACAAAGATAGAATCTTTTCCAGTTCTAGTCCTAGGTAAGCCAAACACAAAATCCATGGATATATCAGTCCAAGGATGAGATGGGATAGGGAGAGGAGTATACAAACCGTGAGGCTGAACCTTAGATTTGGATTGTTTACAAGTTGCACACCTAGAACATATCCTCTCCACATCTCTGATCATGTGCGGCCAATGAAAATGATAACGCATGACTTGAAGTGTTTTGGCCACACCAAAGTGTCCCATCAAGCCTCCTCCATGCGCTTCCCTAACAAACAAATCCTCAAGGAACAGTTAGGCACACATAGACGGTTCTCATAAAAGAGAAACCCATCTTGTCTAGAATATCGGCCAGAAGCAAACTTGGAACAAGACTTGTAAATCTCAGCAAAATCAGAATCTGAATCATATAAATCTTTTATCTGTTCAAAGCCCAAGAGTTAGCATCAAGAGTTGAGAGAAGAGTGTACCTCCGGGACAATGCGTCGGCTACAACATTGTCCTTACCTTTTTTGTACTTGATGACATATGGAAAGGTCTCGATGAACTCAACCCACCTGGCATGTCTTTTGTTGAGCTTTTGTTGACCCTTAAGATGTTTGAGAGATTCATGGTCTATGTGGATGACAAACTCCTTTGGCCAGAGATAGTGTTGCCAAGTTTGCAAGGCACGGACCAAGGCATAGAGTTCTTTGTCATAGGTTGGATAGTTGAGAGTGGCTCCTCCAAGCTTTTCACTAAAGAAAGCGATTGGCTTCTTATCCTGCATCAAGACAGCTCCTATGCCAATACCTGAAGCATCACACTCAATCTCAAAAGTTTTCAAGAAGTCAGGTAAAATAAGAACATGGGCATTAGTTAGCGATCCTTGAGAGCTTGAAACGCATCCTCCTGTGCTTTCTCCCACTTGAATCCAACTTCTTTCTTGATGACTTCAGTTAAGGGCGCGGCCAAGGTACTAAAACCGGATAAACCGCCTATAGAACCCGGCTAGGCCATGGAAGCTTCTGACCTCACCAACTGTCTTAGGGCTGGGCCATTCACGGATTGCTGCAACCTTTCTCTTCATCCACCTTGACTCCATCTGCACTCACAACAAAGCCTAGAAAAACCACATTATCTGTGCAAAAAGTACATTTCTTAAGATTGGCAAACAATTTTTCTTTTCTCAACACAGCCATAACAGATGCAAGGTGATCTAGATGCTCTTCAAGGTTCTTGCTGTAAATCAAAATGTCATCAAAGTAAACCACAACAAAATGACCAATGAAGTTTCTCAAGATATGGTTCATCAGGCGCATGAATGTACTAGGTGCATTAGTAAGACCAAATGGCATGACAAGCCATTTATAAAGACCATGTTTAGTTTTAAATGCAGTTTTCCACTCATCACCTTCTTTCATCCTAATTTGATGATAACCACTTTTCAGATCAATTTTAGAGAAAATACAAGAACCATGCAGCTCATCTAACATATCATCAAGTCTAGGGATAGGATGTCGATACTTTACAGTGATATTGATGGCTCGGCAAGAGATACCTTGATACAAGTTGTTTAAGAGCAAGATTGATTAAGTATAGTCTTCCCCTAGTTGTAAGACCCTGTCTTAGACCCTAATATTTGCATTAGCTTCTTAAGGTTCTTGCCTTTATCGCTTTTTACGCTAACTCGACCGAACTTGGTTACTCTGTTCCCACTCGACTCGAGTCCTTGGTCGAGCTGCTTGCTTTACTGCTCTCTTTTATTTTCAGCATTGCATTTCTGTTTCATTAGGTTGTTAGAGTTACCAACCATCTTATTTACTGTCTGCTTGACTTTCTTCTGATTGCATACTCTCATAGAGCATCATTTCACCCTTTTGGATTGATAACCCCATCGACTGTGATGGTTAAGGGGAATTGATTGATTGTGATTGTGTTTGCACCATACCATCCCATCTTTATTTACCACTGTTGCATTCCACCTCATTTCACTTCATATCATCACATCACACACACAAATCTTATCATCAATTTGGCGCCGTTGCCATTTGGGTTGATTTTTGTTGCATTTGAGTTTCCAATACACGTGGACGATCAAGCTATCCCACCCCTGTTCTTGGTATTGCTGGGTTTTTTATTCATTTTGCAGGTGCATGCGAACTCGATCGAGTCGAACAACAGAAGACTTAGTCGAGCTAGATTTCACCACCAGCAGAAAGAGAGGTCAGAGAACTCAGAGGGTACAAGCAGAACCTGAGGTGATTGTTACTGAAACCATGGATGTACCAGAGGGGAATGGAAACCCTTTGGGTAATGGACTCGGTCGAGCTCGGCAACCTCGACCGATTGGTCTAGGAGATGCTCCAAACCGCCATCAACAAAGACAAGGGATTGTCCCACCACCTGTGCAGAACCACAACTTTGAGATCAAGCTGGGTATGATCAACCTTGTCCAGAACAAGATGTTCCATGGATTGCCAAGTGAAGACCCCATTGATCACCTTGATGAGTTTGATAGGCTATGTGACTTGACCAAGATCAATGGTGTCTCTGAAGATGCCATCAAGCTGAGACTCTTTCCTATGTCTCTTGCTGACAAGGCTCACCAATGGGAGAAGAGCCTGCCCCATGGCACAATCACCACTTGGGATGAATGCAAGAAGGCCTTTCTTGCTAAGTTTTTCTCCACCGGTCGCACAGCCAAGCTTAGGAGTGAGATATCCAGCTTCATTCAGAGGAACAATGAGACTTTTGCTGAGGCTTGGGAAAGATTCAAGGGCTACACAAGTCAGTGCCCCCATTATGGCTTCAACAATGACTCATTGGTCTCTACTCTCTATAGAGGATGCTTGGCAAGGTATAGAGAGATGTTAGACACAGCCAGCAATGGGAACTTCCTCAATCAAGATGTGGATGATGGCTGGCAGCTTGTGGAAAACATTGCAAACTCCAATGGAAGTTATGGAGAAGAGTATGATCGCACCAACCGGAGCTCGACCCACACTCGATCGAGTCCGATGAGAAATTGAGAAAAGATGTCAAATCGTTGAATGAGAAGTTGGATAAGCTTATCTTAGCTCAGTCCACAATGAAGAAGGTCAATTTTGTGTCTGCTGAAGAGATGGAACCAGTCCAAGAAGGGGAGGATACACAATTTGCTGAAGTATGTTACATGAGCAATGGGCAAGGAGGCTACAACAAAGGATACTATAATACAAAGTCCAACCCAGCCATGTCATACAGAAACACTGATGTTGCTAACCCTCAGGACCAGGTTATCCTCAACAACAGCAAGCTCGATCGAGTCAAGCTCCACAACATGGGTATGGTCCTAAAAACAACTACCAAGGCCCTCAAGGGACTTTTCCTGGTCAGCAAATGCACATACCACCTGGCTTTCCCCACCAACCACCCCAGCCTGCACCTACACTGAGCATGAGCTCAAGGCTATGCTAAACAGTTGCTTCAAGGTCAAGCTGATGGTGTTGTGGAGACAAGCAAGAAGTTGGCTGATATCAACTCCAAGATTGAGAATCTCAACACAAGAGTGTACTCTCTGGAGAATCATGCTTCTTCTGTGCTGCTGCTGCAAAGCAAGGACAACTTCCTGGTAAAGCTGTTCAGAACCCCAAGGAACAATGCAAGGTCATTTTCACTCAAGAAGGGCTTAATGAAGAAGAAGATCAAGAGAAAGTCATGGAAGAGTTTTGTTTGCTGCTGAATGATGACGAGATTGTTGCTGCTGAGATTCCTGGAGTCCAGAATTGATCAACCTGAAGTGCACGCTACTCCCATAGCCATTCACACTTCACCAGTTGAGCTCGCACAACAAGCTCGATCGGCAGCTCGATCGAGTCGACTCTTAGCTCGACCGAGTCAGAAAGCATCAGTCCTCAAACCGACTTTGCTTGATCCTTACCAGCCAGTTGACCCTTCCTCATCTCGCCTACTCAGTCAAGCCATAAGGAAGTGATTCACAAGTTCAGAAGAGACCTTAGTGAGATTGGAATTGAGTTGCCTTCTATGGAAAGCATGAGTGAGGCATTTGAGCAAATGAAGATGATTAAAGATGTTATGGCTAACAGTGATTAGGCCTGGGCATAATGGGTACTCGGTTCGGTTCCGGGTCGGGTCCTTCGGTTCCGGGTCTTACGGTTATTTGAAATATTTATCCAAATAGGACCCGTTACTATTTCGGTTCGGTTCCTGCATTAAAATAACTGTAAATTATCCGAGTAACTGTGGATACTGGTCGGTTTTGGGTATAAAACGGTTTTTTTACTCGTTTTATCCGAATTCCTGTGATTTAATCCGAAAACAGAACAGAAAATTGAACACAAATACTTCATGTCATGAAACAACAAAGGACCAAAGTGACAAAAAACACATCAAAGTATCAAACCATTCAAGATTTCAAGACACAAAGCCACAAAGTATCAACTATCAAAGCTTAACACAAAAACAAAAGAGAAAAACACTAAGTCTTATAATAGAAGACACCAACTCTTCTATTCTTCATGACAATCGGACCCTTAAACTTCATTTCCTCCTCACCGAGTCTCTTGTTATCAAACTACATTACATAATCACACACTAAGCTAAAGACTCAAAGAGATAAAACAAATTGTACTCTGTTTTAGAACAAAGAAAGTAATTACCAAGAACTCAAGGCGCGTGGAAGGTGAATGCGGGTTCAAACTCTAAAGAGAAAAAAAAAACCGATTCATGAAATTAGTAACTGTAAATCTGAAATGAAATTGCCATAAGAAATCAGGAATATACTTTACCTCTCATGAGATTATCTGGAACCTCAACATCCGCAAGCAGCTGTTCCTTTTTGACCACATTTCTATCCATTGCTCAAGACACATCAAAACTTCAATTGTGTAATGAGTCAAGCAGCTTCTACTTGGTTCTAAAACTCTTCCTGAGGTACTAAAGGCTGACTCTGAAGCAACTGAAGACACTTGCATTGCAAGTATATCTCTAGCTATCACAGAGAGAACCGGAAACTTATAAGTGTTCACCTTCCACCAAGAAGGCACATCATAATCTGTCCCATCAAAAGTAGTTGGATTCTCAAGCTTCTCTTTCAAGTACAAATCCAACTCATTCATCTTCTCTTGAAAACCTCCTTCGTCGACAAGCTCCTTCGTACAAGTTCCTTGTAGATGTCATTCATGCTTTCATAATGTAGACCATTTCCAAGAACCGTTTCCTGAGAAGCTTCTTCTCTAGACTGAGCAGAACTAGTAGACGCTTCATTTGACTGCGACAATGAACCTGATTCAACACCTCCATTCTTGTTTACTTTACTATCATACTCGTCAAACAGATCCTTCAAAATATCCTTCACATCATCCTTCAGATCTTCAGACTTGGGACCTTTAGAGCAGACAGTGTTTGAAGCAGAAAGAAGATGATGAGGAATTGGACTAACCTGTCAACCGAACCAAAATCATCTTTGGTTGGTGGTCCAACCCTTTTTTTCCCTCCACAATATCCGTGAAGTACTTGATATACGGAAAATCCAACTCATGCATCTTGTCAAATGCCGATCTGAACTTTAACGCTTGGTCTAACATCACATAAGTTGAATTCCATCTAGTCTTCACATCTAGAGGCAAGCTTCCTCTTTGAATCCTTCTTGATTCCACATGATTCTCAAATGCCTTGAGCCTAGGTGTGGAAGATCTGACAAAGTAGATGCCATTACGGATAGCATTAACACTGCTACCTATCTCCATCAGACCTTCTTTCACAATCAAATTAATGATGTGAGTAGAACACCTCAAATGAAGAAAGTTACCGTTCAGAATCAATGCATCATCTCCTATCTGCTTAAACTCTTTCTTGAATGTCTCCATGGCATTACTGTTAGCTGTGGCGTTATCAACGGTGATGCAGAATATTCGCTTGATGTCCCACTCCGCCAAACAATCAATTAGAACCTTACTTATAGTCGCAGCTTTATGGTCATAGACGTTCCTGAATCCAATGATTAGCTTCCTTAATTGCCACCAAGCATCAACGAAATGAGCTGGGATAACCATATAACTAGCTCCTGTATGTGGTGCGACCCAAATGTCTGTAGTCAGAGACAGTCTCTGCTTATTCTCATCGAGAATCTTCTTTATCCCAGCTTTCCTCTGAACATACATCTCCACAATGTCTCTAGTAGCTGTTCTCCTTGAATGAGGATTGGGCAACTTTGCTCTAGTGCAGAAATGTTTCCATCCCAAGCCCTCAATGAAAGATAAAGGCAGCTCTGCAATAACCATCATCTCATTAGAAGCTTCCCTGATCACCTTCTCATTCACTTTAGAAAGCCGAAGACCATCAGAACCATCAGGAGACAACACGGTTTGGTCCTTCTTTCCAGTGTTAGCAGCTTTCCACACATTGTAAGCCTTGCAAGAGACCATGTAATGTTTCTTCAGATTGGATGTGCCATTGCCTGATGGAGCAGAAAAGATCTTCTTGCAATAATTGCAAACTGCTTTGGTCTTGTCCTTCTCAGGTCTCGAGAAATGATCCCATACTTCAGACCATGTATTCTGCTTCTTAGCGCTTTCTTCTTCTGGTTTTTTCTCTTCCCTTTCCCTTTGCTACTTGTACTCACTGGTGGTGTTGGTGATGTTTCAGTAACATCGTCCTCAGTCTCTGATCCACTACCGTCATGCAAGCGTGGTCCATCATTTGAAGCCATCTGAGAAAGCAAACAAAGCCAATCAGATATGATTCAAGTTTCAGGAACAAGAAAACAAGAAAAAACCATCGTGAAAACTCAAGTGAAACAAGAAAAAAAGAAAAAAGCATCGTGAAACTCAAGTCTAGTCTACAATTATTAGAGTGAGGAGATGAGATGGCCGAACACTAGTGAAGGCCAAGCATCTCCAAGACAATATCAAGAGTTTACATGGTCTTGTAAAGCGCTCAAGAGTTTACATGGTCTTGTAAAGTTTACAAGGTCTTGTAAAGTTTACATGGTCTTGTAAAGCGCTCAATTTCACATTTTATGGTTAGCAATCAGACATTCACTAGTTACAAAGAGAGAATTCAAAAGAGGCAGCCAAAGAGCAGACTCATGTTATTTACATTTCAGGAAAATGAAAGAAAGAGTCAGTGACAAAGAACAATTTGACTCAAGCACGAAGAGATCATAAAGCATCTAAAAGGAACAAAAACAGCATCTAAGAACAATTTGACTCTTAGTCTCGTACAGTCAATCGCATAAGTATATAAACAAATTTCAAAACAAAATCCAAGAACAATTTGACTCAAGCACGAAGAGAACAACATCGAATCACTCTATCAATCACTCTATCGTTCTTACTCCTTAGTTTTTACAAACAAATCGCAAAGAAATTGGAAACATGCAACAGATGAACATAGCAACATCGAAACAAAACTGAAAGTACGAATACTCGAAAATGAAATCAAAATTGCATACCTTTGATTGATTTGCAGACGTCGCTGATGGAGGATTTCTTCCTCCTCTATGGATTTGAGCTTCCAGTTTTAGTTAATTGAATATGTAAAAGGATTTAAGTTGGAATTCGAAAAACGTTTGCTGGGTTCAGAAGCGGAAGCGACTAAAGCAACGGTGGCGGATAAAACGATGAAGTTTTATTAGACATAATAAGGGTTTGTGTTTTAATCTCGGTTCTTCCCAGGTACCCACGGTTAATACCCGACCCGACCCGAGGACCGCGGTTTAGGGAGAAATTTATCCGACAGGTTATTTAGAGGGGAACTGGTGCTAACCGGAACCGGTTTTTTCGGGTCGGTTCCGGGTCGGGCCCCGCGGGTCGGATTTTATGCCCAGGCCTAACAGTGATAAGGTTTCAGAGCTTCTGGAGGTGTCTACTCACCAAATCAACCTGCTTACCTCACCTACTTTCTTACCAAAGGTGAAGGATCAAGGAAAGTTCACTCTCCCTTGCACACTTGGGCATATTGAGCTTGACAATGCCTTGGTGGATTCTGGTGCAAGCATCAACCTGCTCTCCCTCACAATGGCAGAGAAGCTTGGCATTGCTGGAGCATTGCAGCGCCCTACTACCTCAATCATGTTTGGAGATGCAACTTCCAAGTCTCCTCTTGGTGTGTTCAAGAACTATCACTTGAAAATAGGAGAATGCATCATCCAAACTGACCTTACTGTCATGGAGATGGAAGAAGAAAGGGATCTACCTCTGCTATTGGGAACCTTGGACTTGTTCTTGAGTATTTGCTCTCACATTTATCTGCTGCTTATAGAATTTTGAACTTGCCTCACCTCACCTCTTTTTTGCCATTAAAATTGTTACATGTGCTTAAAACCTTGAGTTTGAAATTGGTAATTGGCTAGGATGCTTTAATCTTCACTAGAATTGCTCATTGTTCCAATTACTTGATGTTATTGGTTCGATTTGTTTGTTTAGCATCCTTTCCAGCTCTTAATACTTGATTAAGATTCGGTTTTACTTTGTTTCACCTAGCTCGATTGAGTTTCTCACTCGAGTTTTTTGACTCGATCGAGTTGGGTGTCGAGTTGACCGAATCGATCATTACAACTCTAACTCTTTGGGTTTTTGATGAATTTCAGGAACCTTAGTTGAGAAAATCAGCGTAACAAGGATGACAAGCAGTGAGGGAAGCCGTGCTTCGCAATGGAGAATGGTTGAGGGTGAATCAAACAATGCAATGGAAAGGAGGCTAAAGTTGCAAGCCGATTTGGAAGGGATGAATCAAAGGATTGAAGTTTCTGATGCAGAGGGATATGTTTACTCTGAATTGGAGTCTGAGAGCGAGAGATTGAGGGAAGAGAGGAGGACCAAGAAGAGGAATGACCCCATTAGTAGTGAGAGCGAGCAAGGAGAGTTTGAGATTGGGGTAAACATTGGAAGAGAAGAGAGTGATGAGTCTGAAAGTGAAGAAGAAGGAGAGGAGGTCAATCAAGAGGTTGATGAAAGTGGGCATGAGAGTAACCAAGATGAGCCCATGGAGGAGGCTGAGCCACAAGAAGAGGAGGATGAGCTCCCCATGTACCAAGAGCACTACAATGCTCTCTTCTCCATGGACTTTGTGGAAACAAAGTACCCACATGATGATACAATGAAGTCTCTTGGAATCTTCGAGGATGTGGAGCTAGTCCTTAAGAACATGCACTTGGCCAAGTTCTTCTCTCATTGCATGGAGTCATACAAGGAGCTCACTTGTGAGTTCCTAACATCGATGAGGTACCACGAGTATGATGAGCTCGATCGAGCTGACTTGGACCAAGGTTGGGGATGGATCACGTTCTAGTCAAAGGAGAGAAGAAGATGATCACCTTTAGGCAGCTTGAGATACTGTTTGGGTTCACATATGGAGAGGGAACTCATTGGAATATCAAGGAGAATGAGCTCCAAAGTGTTTGGGCTATAATTGCTGAAGGAGAGTACTCTTCCTCAAGGTCCAAGGCTGCTCAGATTAGGAGTCATGTGCTGAGATATGTGCACAAAGCCCTTGCCAACACCTTCTTTGCAAGGAAAGCAACAGGGACAATCAATGAAGGAGAAGTCAAACTCCTTGACATGGGGATTAAGCCCATCATCTCACGCACAAGGGATGGGAAGAAGCTCAGAGGAGATAGGGCACACGCAGGCAACCTCATGCTCCTATCCTCTGCGCAGCTGGTGTCCAGCTAAACAAGGAGAAGGCAACTCCAGCTGGTTGGATGAACATCAAGTTCTGCAAAACCAACCTCCTTATTGATCACAAGGAAGTGGATGAGAAATACCAATTCAAGTTCACACACCCCACAGCTGGCCCTTCCAAGCTGGTTCTGCCCAACCCTGAACTCACCACAGTCATCAGGGGTGAGAACATTGACTTAAGACCCCTATTGTACACAATAGTTGGGCATGAAGATGATTTGCGAGAAGAGGACCCTGAACTCGATCGTGTTAAGGCTTGAGCTCAGGCCCGAGCCCAAGTGAATGAGGATTTGGGTGAGCCTGATTGCTACTACTTTGAGGAGTATGAGGCTCCAAGGATGAACCCCTCTGTTGTGGCTGCTCACAAGAGGATTGGACTTCTCCAAAAGTTCAACAAGTGGCAAGGGAAGGCCATGAGAAAATGCAAAAGTCCATGGACAAAATGGTGAGCAAGATCAAGAGTTTGGAGAAGAAGGTCTCTGGTTCTTCATCCAAGAAGAAGAAGACACCCATAGCTTCTACATTTCCAGGAGTCGATCCTTCTCACCACTCCAAGGAGACTCCCTGCCCAAGAGCCTCACAGAGCCTCTCATTTGAACCAAGGGAAGAAGGAGACAACACGCAGAGGAGGAGGAAAAGTTCCAAGCCCGACGCTCTAACTCGACCACTGGACTCGATCGAGTCCAAACAGAGGAAACTCAACTCGGTCGAGCTGATGGTCGAGTTGACCTGAGGAGCCATTATTCGAGAACCCTGGATTCGATACGATCAGGACCTTACCAGGACTATCCCAGAGAGCCGATGGAACCCATACGGTCAGTTCGAGCTAGCCAAGCTCCACCAAGGCCAAAGTAGCCACACACGCTTCGAGGAAGAAGAAGAGAACCGCAAGCTCGATCGAGCTGCATGGACATGGTCGAATGGAGTGCTCCTGATGGCCGCTTGCCCTCTCCTGACCACGACCTTGCCTCCCAGTTCTTTGGGGGGCACTAAGGTATCAAACACCACAACCCTTGTAATACCATTTCATATTTCTTGCATTTTTCTTTTTTCTTGGTTTTTGCCTCTTGAATCCTTCAATGAATTTCTCTCACACAAGGGACTGTGTGATTTAAGTTTGGGGGAGGGTTCAAGAGATGATTTAACCTTGTTTTCTTTGTTCTTAGTTTTTCATCTTTATTTGCATAGAAAAACCAAAAAAATCATAAAATTTTCAAAAAATCCAAAAATATTTTCATCTTTTTGCATTCATATTTGTTAGATTGTTTAGGATTGCATCATTTTCTCTTGCATTGTTGATTTGATCTTGAAAACTTGTTCATCATTTGCGATTTCTTGAGTGCCCTATTTCTAGATTCTTTTGTGCATTAGGGTGAGATTGATTGAGCAACAAGAACCATGTTTATCTTGATCATATCACTGCATGCACATCTCATTCAACCATTGCTGTGATTTGATGCATTTCCCTATCTATTTGAACCATAACTTGATCTTTAATTACCAATGCTTGCATTTGATTTCAACTCATGGCTACCACATACATATCTGGACATTCTTTGCCTATTTTCATATCCCTCTTGCTTGTCCAGATAGCTGATCTCCATCTTTGAGACAGTTACCACACCTTAAACCTAAGCCTTTTTCATTTCAAACCCCATATTATCTCTTGTGCGAATTGTGAGAACCTTTCTTGGCTTTGCTTAGCATAAGGTGTTGTGTTTAAACCGGCAGGAGCAGTAGTTCTAGTTGTCTAGTTCTCTTGGGATTGTTTTCAGGCTAAGTTTGGGGGTGCCAACTCGAGCTCGATCGAGTTGGGTGTCAAAACCAGAAAAGTGGTAAAAGTTGGGAAAATCCAAAAGAAAAGAGTTTAGTTAAGTCCAGGGAGTTGGCAGTGTTAAAAAGGGTCTAGTAAAGGTTTGGGAAGGAAGAAAAAAGGGTTCTAAGTAGAAAGAAAAGAAGGCAAAGCCTCAAGTGTCAAAAAGAAAGAAAAGTTCCCTAAGTGTTTAGAAAATCCCAAACCGCTAGATGTTACCTCAAGAAGCCTCTCCCTAGGTTGTTCTTAAAAGAAAAGTGAGCAAAGCTCCTCTGTTTCAAAGGCGAAATGCCAAAAAGGGTAGTTAGGATTTTGTTCTAAAAAGCTCTAAGTGTTGAACTCGATCGAGTTAGGATTAGGCGGCTCGAGCTGCTCTTGCATCATCTTTGGTTCTAACACTTAGCCTTCTGCCAAAGCAAAGCCACTTTCTTGAGAGATCCCTGTTACTAAACCACCATACAAAAGAGACCCTCTTTGTCTCTTAACCCATAAACCCTTGAAACCAAATGAGTTGATTGATCTTGCATGTTTTTGGTTCACTGTTTTTGCTTAATGAATGTTAAAGGGATTTGCTGATTTGAATGCATTGTTTGAGTGACTGTGAAGTGGGATTGATGTTGATAAGCATGGTTAAATCTTAATGAATATCTCTCACCTTGTTGCATTCTAGAATCTCTAAGTTGGACATTTAGCAAATCGCTTTTGAGGACATGTTTTTAAGTGTTGAATCAACTTGTTTTCAAACCTCATCTCTTTCTTGTTCTATTTGTTTGCTTGAGGGCAAGCAAAGGTCAAGTTTGGGGGTGTTGATGTACTTGCATTTTACATAGTTTTAGTACATCTTTTATGCATCTTTTGCATAGTTTTAGCATCCATTAGCATCATATCTTGTTCCTTTTCTCTTCTTATGCATTCATAGTAGTTTTAGGTTGCATTTGCATACATATGCATGTTTGGTCCTTTTGGAGCATTTGGAGCATATGGGACATGAGGAGCAAGGAAGGACTTGGCACATGGACGCAGCTCAACTGGATACGCAAAGGAAGAAGGAGGAAGCCATCTTGAAGACCAGCTCGACCATCTACTCGACCAACCGGTCGAGTTCCTCAACTCGACCGGCCAAGCTTCAACTCGATCGAGCTGAGAAGTCAACAGTCAAACCCGAAAAATGTTGCTTCCCCCTTGACTTTCCTTTGACCCTAAACCTAATCCTCTTGTATTTAAAGGCTCTAAAAGCCACGAAAAAACCACCAAGCTTTAGATTATTTTGTTTTAGTTTCTTTTAATTTATTGTCTTTTACTTTTTAGAAGCTCTAATCCCATCTTTGTGTTCTTGAAGCTCTTGCTTCTTGAATCCTAGATCTGGATAATCTCTTTGTATTTGCACTTGCTTATTTCAATAAAAGTTGTTTATTTCATCTCCTCTTTCTTATGATGTCTCTTTTATTGCATTTGCTTGTGTTTACATTCATGTGTAGTGAGTAGTTTACCCATTAGGGTTTGAGATGGGATAGATTAGAGGTTTCATATGCTTAATCCTTCTTGCTTATGGTCTTAATCTAGAAATCTCTCTCTTTTGGATAAATCTTAAGGCTACATGACCACTACCCCTGGCTTGTATGTCCATAGGCGATTCTCCACATGGAAGTGATGGAAATCGCTGGAAAAGGTCCACTAAGAGCTCCAATACTCTTGCTCTCGAAATGGAGTTCATAGGGGTTGGATGGATTAGTTTGAGCAATGATCCTATGGCCTCCAAGGCTTGATTCTCACTGGCTAACCCCCTGTTTCTGAGATCATTCCTTGGTTGATAGCTTTCACCTTGGGAAAGGGTTAGCTAGGCATTGAGAAGCTCAATATCAAGAGATACCTTGATACAAGTTTTAAGAGCAAGATTGATTAAGTATAGCCTTCCCTGATTGTAAACCCTGTCTTAGACCCTAATTTCGCATTAGCTTGTTAAAGTCTGCCTTTAGCTTTTTACTCAACTCGACCCTAAACTCGATCGAGCTGGTACTCTGTTCCCACTCGACTCGAGTCCTTGGTCGAGCTGCTTGCTTCACTGCTTTTTTATTTATTGCATTGCATTTCATTTCTAGGTTGTTAGTGTTACCAAATCTATTTACTGCTTGCTTGACTTCTTGTTGTTTCATATTCTCATAGAGTGACAATTTCACCCATTTTGGATTGATAACCCTTATACTAATGACTATGATGGTTAAGGGAATTGATTGATTGTGATTGCACCATACCATCATCATTACCACTGTTGCATTCCACCATTTCATTCATATCATCACATCCACACACAAATCCTATCATCAGTGAACTACAAAACAAACTATTAAGAATTTCATGACCTATATTGAAATTTCATCGACCAACCTGGTATTTCATGGCCTCTGGTGAAGTTTGAGAGCATTTGAACGAGTGGATTGAGACTTCCTGCATAAATGTGTTATTTAATCTCCAGGAAGTAGTTTCCAACCGGTGGTCGCGTCTATGCCGTGATTTGATTTGTCGGCCATTGTGCTTGCCCGCTATCGGCCGGATGTGGCTCCTGTGGTCTATCTCTTGAACCGTGATGATTTATCCGTCCTATAGTTTGGATTTTCCGACCAAAATGGGATTTCATGGTCGCCTGTGAAGTGTGGTGGACTTTGCACACGCCGTTTAGGAGTTGGCCGAGATTTGTTCTCCTTGTACGCGTCATGGCCGAGAGAAATATGCCAGATTGAATTTCTTCAAATCCGTTCGGGCCAATTGACTTTTTCTTCTACCGAATTTTTTTCTAGCCCTCCTTTGTCATTCCCAAGTGGTAATCACCTTGTTTCTTGTAATGGCCTATGAATCTCCTTTAAACATTCCTTTGTCCGCCATATGAATGATGGTTTTAGGTTTGTTACAGCTATTCTCCATGCCTCCTTCCTGTCAAATAGTTAACTCCTTGCCAAACACTTGAAATCACTATTAGATGGTTTCTTAGATTGAGATCCTCCTGTGACCAACTTGAAATTCACAATCCAAGAGAGTAATGTATAAACTATAAACTCTTTTTGGGTCTTGGTTAGTGATCCCAAACTTCAAATTATAGTTCAATCTATGTGAATTTAGTGCATGATAAGAGTTTGACAAGTGAAAATGTATTTCATTCATTAACCATCAAAATGTAAATTGATTGAAACCATGAAATATATGTGACAAAGTGCAATGGTTCAAATGATTATCATGTGAAGATCAGGAGTGGTTATGAATGAATACTAGATGAGAATTTCCTTACCTTATGAAGAAGAATTGCCGTGTACAAGGGTGGGCTTTTTGGGTGGGACATTTTCATGATGTGGTCTCCTTTTGGGTCTTCATCCTAAGAAAATATTTTTTTTCTTAGGATGAAGCTTTCTTCATCCCTTTGTTCATCAATAGAGAAGCTTTCTTCATCCCTTTATCTCTTTTAATACTTGCATAATGTTTACAATCATGCTTTGCTTGCTTGTTTGCATCATGGCCGAGTAGATCTCTTAGTTAGGCCGAGGAGATCTATGGTAGTGATGATTGGATTTTACGTGGTGTGATATGATATGAATGAAGGGTGATAAGATATGAGGTGGAATGCAAACAGGGGTGAATAAAGATGAAATGGTGCAATCACAATCAATCAATTCCTCTTAACCATCATAGTCATGTAGTACAAGGGTTATCAATCCAAAATGGGAAACTTGTCACTCTTTGAGAATATGAAACAACCAGAAAGTCAAGCAAGCAGTAATAGATTTGAAGTAACACTAACAACCTAAATAAAATGAAAAGCAGTGCAATAAAAGTAAACAAAGCAGTGAAGTGTCAGCTCGACCAAGAGCTCGAGTCGAGTCAGACAAAGTACCAGCTCGATCGAGTTTAGGGACGAGTTGAGACAAACAAAGCTAAAGGTGACGACTTTAACAAGATAAAGAGAGAATTAGGGTTCAAGACAGGGTTTTGCAATCAAAGGAATCTACACTTAATCAATCTAGCTCTTAAAACTCCTTGTATCAAGGCTTCTCTTGATATTGGGCTTCTCAATGCCTAGCCAACCCTTTCCCAAGGTGGAGGCTATCAACCAAGGAATGATCTCAGAAACAGGGGGTTAGCCAGTGAGAATCAAACCTTGGAGGCTATAGGATCATTGCCCAAACTAATCCATCCAACCCCTTAGACCTCTATTGTCTAGAGCAAGAGATATTGGAGCTCTTAGTGGATCTTTTCCAGCGAATGCCATCACTTTCGTGTGGGGAGTCGCCTAAGGACTTACAAGCCAGGGGTAGTGGTCATGTAGCCTTAAGATCTATCCAAAAGAGAGAGAATCTAGATTAAGACCATAAGCTAGAAGGATTAAGCATATGAAACCTCTAATCTATCCCATCTCAAACCCCAATGGGTAACTACTCACTACACATGAATGTAAACACAAGCAAATGCAATAAAAGAGACATCATAAGAAAGAGGAGATGAAATTAAACAACTTTTATTGAAATAAGCAAGTGCAAATACAAGAGAGATTATCCAGGATCTAAGATTCAAGAAGCAAGAGCTTCAAGAACACAAAGATGGGATTAGATCTCTAAAAAGTAAAAGTACAATAAATTAAAAGAAACTAAAACAAAATAATCTAAAGCTTGGTGGTTTTTTCGTGGCTTAGAGCCTTTAAATACAAGAGGATTAGGTTTAGGGTCAAAGGAAAGTCAAGGGGGAAGCAACATTTTTCGGGTTTGACTGTTGACTTCTCAGCTCGATCGAGTTGAAGCTTGGCCGGTCGAGTTGAGGAACTCGACCGGTTGGTCGAGTAGACGGTCGAGCTGGTCTTCAAGATGGCTTCTCCCTTCTTCCTTTGCGTATCCAGTTGAGCTGCTTCCATGTGCCAAGTCCCTCCATGCTCCTTCATGTCCCATATGCTCCAGAATGCTCCAAAAGACCTATTTCAAAGGACCAAACATGCATATGTATGCAAATGCAACCTAAAACTAACATGAATGCATAAGAAGAGAAAAGGAACAAGATATGATGCAAATGGAAGCTAAAACTATGCAAAAGATGCATAAAAGATGTGCTAAAACTATGTAAAATGCAAGTACATCAGGTAGCTGTGATGATTTGATTGTGTTGCAACTTATTGGGATTTATCTTATGGATCTTCACCTTTACTTGAGCTTAATGCATGATTACTCTACCGTACATCTAGTAATCTGATCTTAGAGAAATAGAACCACGACAGTGCTGAATCTAGATCTCAAAACTAGTATTTGGTGAGCAATAGATCATAGCCAACGAAAGCTGAGTTATGGTTTATTGTGAACAATTGAATCTTGATCATCTTTAATGCATGTTTGCAATTCTAATAGCCAACGAAAGCTGAGTATATTAGGTTGTTTTAAACATAGTGGTTGGAGCCACGACAGTGGAAAGACCATACACTAGTGATTCATGTTCAAGACGGCTCTACACACATCCCATGCAACTATCTTTTCATCATTGCTCCATATGATTGTCCTTTGCCTAACTCTTGTTTTAAATTGCTTACAACTCACTCACATTTCTTTTGTTTCACTTTCTCATTCTAGGTCCCAAAACCATCTCATATTGCGAGCTAGCTACAAACCAATCTCACAAGGTGTTAAGTGAGAACACTTCCTCCTCGTGTTCGACCCCGACTACAACACGGCTGTGCACTTGCAGCTCATTAGTTGGGTTTATAAATTGTGAAAATTTGAGGCAATCTAAACCCGCCATCAAGCTTTCTGGCGCCGTTGCCGGGGAGGAGTTGCTTTTCCTTCACACCTCTTGATTGATTTCAAGACTAGCTCATCTCATCTTTCACTTTTCTTTGTTTTTGTTTTTCATAAAATCTTAAAAACTCATAAAATTTTTACTTAACTCTCTCTTTGTGTGTTTCTAAGGTGCATGACAAGAAGGTCCAATCCAAATACAACCATTGAAGAAGATCTTGACATTGACCAACTTGAGCGCACACTTAGGCGGCTAAGAAGAGAAAGAATGAATCCAGGCGGAGAAGGCGCGCCAAATAGGCCAAACAACCCGCCCGACCAAGAGAGGAGAGCCAATGATCCTCCTAATCCAGCAGAAGCTAGAGCTGACCAGCCAGCACCGGCCAGAGACGTTCCTCCGCCCAATCCGAACGCGCCCGATGCAGCTGAGCCGCTACAGCCACCTCTTAACCCGCCGCGACCACCACCGGCGTTTGCAAATGGACATCATCGTCACGGTGACAACCAAGGGATGCCTCAAGACAACCTC